AGAAGCTCTCTTTCAATTTTTATTTATTTACTTTTCTCACAGCTGCAGTTCAGTTTCCAGTCAGGTGACACTCGAGTTGTGATGTCACACCTGTCCATGGGGCCCTCATGATGTCAGAGGTCATCCCTCTGTGAGGTCATCGTTGAAGTGGAGGAGGATGGCGGGAATGAAGAGGTCATGGTCCAGTCGCAGCTCCTCGAGCTCGTGGTCTTCATCAGGGACGTTGTTCTCACTGAGCGTCCTGCTCATGTCCAGACTGACTCCGTCATGTTTCCAGGTGTAGCTGCGGGCGTGAGAGTTGTGGCGCAGGTAACGCTGGAGGATCTCGTCTAGAGTCTCCTCTGAACACACCTGAGGAGCAACGCAGGATGTCAGGTGGAAACAAACCTCCACATTTACTCACAAACTGAATAAACTTCACAGATCCACAGGTCTCAGTGCTCCAATACTTCACTTCAGTCAAAGCATCGATGAGCAGTGAAAGTAACTGATGTCTGTTTCTACCTCTTTCCTGCTGCTTTCAGTCTTTGTGCTAAGCTAGGCTAAGCTCAGACTCCATTACCCAGAATGCACCTTGTGTGATCAGTTTACCTGCAGCTGCTGCTCCTCTGAGGTCAGCGTGTTGATGACCCTTATCCACCTGGCTTTAGTTGTCAACAGTCCCACCTCATAGCGCCGATCCCTCCACCAGGGCTCGCCAAAGTCGCTGGCCCAATCAGAGCAGGGGCCAGTAGGGGAGACGTGCAAGAAGCGCCCCCTGGGAGTGTAGTACCTCACGCAGTTAGTCAGTGGATGCACATGTTTCAGGATCTGAGGACAAAGGACGGACACATGCAGGTAAATCCAGCAGAGAAAAATTGCCAAGTTCTTTTACCCAAGTTTTGGATGAAAGTTATCGAGTATTTCAATGTTCTGACACTTTAGAATTTTGTAATGAGATGTGCCGGGAAGATGATTCATGCCTGCAATCTGTTTTCAATCTTTTTGCTTGTTCAATCAGGTTTAATGTGCAGAGGTTTTATGGACAACACCCTCCAGGAGAGCTTCCTCTTTCTGTTGAACTTTCTAACTTGTGGAGTTGGGTTTTATTTCCTCTTTTTTAGTTGAGAAACTGGAGGCAAAGTCATTGGACTTTGGATTGACCTCACGCTAGTGATCATACATTTTTTAAATTTAAATTACACTTCATCTCCAATTTGAACACTTTTACTCGACTTCATGTCATAATACACATTTTACTGCTTTTGAAAAGAATCAATCATCAGAACTGTGTTTTCACTTCTTTAAATCATGTGACCCCTCAGGTTTCTCTGGGGACCCGTCAGAGAGGCCCGACCGCCATGTTGGAAAATACAGGGGACTCTTTGCTGCTCACTCACGTCTTTGGTTTCAGGGTCGAACCAGCTGCTGATGTCACTTCCTGCAGACTCCATGATGGGTAAGAGCAGAGGGTCGCCTGCACAGAAACACACATATGTTCATCAATCACATTTTACATCTCTTTTATTATTAATATTCAAATATGAGTCAGAGAATAATACAAATATAAAACTGAGCATTCAAACACAAGAGCTGAAATGTGTTTTAAACAGTCATTCATCATCTTTATGTACAGTCGCTGGGCGTCTTTAAATTCAATCACTTATAATTTTTATACACAGTTACTGATTGTCTCCATGTAAGTATTTTATAGACTGAATGAAAAAAGTACATTTACATTTTACAGCTGTCTCTTCACATGTATCATGACATTTATATATTCCTATTGCACGTTTAAGTCTATATATTTTCATTGATTTTTATGTTGAATGTTAAATCTCACTGTGAAATTAAACTGGTGACTGAAGATTCTGAATAACATCCGGTAAAAAGTAAAATATTTGAAAACCGTTATTTTGTAACAAATTGTCGTATTTTATAAATCGTGTTTAATAAAATAAAACCGTGTGAGGTTTTACTCACTAAATAAATGTAATTAAATATATTTGAGTAAAAGCACAGTTACTTTAAACCACTGCACCAGCAGGTAGAATAGGTTAGTACACGGGTAATCAGAGAAATGGTACTGTGGCTTTCAGCTGACAGGCAGAATGATGAGGTCTCTCAGTGAGTAACAGGCAGAGTACAGTAGTACCAGAGTACAGTAGTACCAGAGTACAGTAGTACCAGAGTACAGTAGTACCAGAGTACAGTAGAACCAGAGTACAGTGGTACCAGAGTACAGTAGTACCAGAGTTCTCGACTCCAGAGTACTCGCCCTGCGGCTGTCACGCACCTTTGTTCCGGTTCATCAGGGGCGTCAGGTCGCAGACTTTACCCAGGAACGAGACCCACAGGTCGTCGGCGGTGTTGTGAGCTGAGACCTCAGCGGAAGTGAAGAACTTCTGTCTGTTCATGTCGAGAAAAAAAAACTTTTCACCTGTTCACGAGAGCTCTTCCGCTTCGGCGTGGTCACGTTGCTATGGCAACCAGGAGGCAGCGCCGCGGGGCGGGACCAAATTACAACATTGCTAATTAATTGAAGAAAAATAAAGGAATAAAAAGTTGAAGAAAAATGTAGATCATTGATTCATACAGTGTAACTTATGTTTTAAAACTACGTTTTTAATATAAAAATA